TTTCTATAAGTATCACGTGAGCACGCTGAAGGACATACCATCGCTGCAGTGGTGGAAGAGACAGACTAAAGGGAGCGTCGTCACAGCCAAAAACTGCACAGGCATCAGGATTTACATTTGAGCCCGCATCTCAGCCCAGGAAGTACATGCTGACCCTGGTGATGCCTAAACAAAGATGGTAGGCAACCTTGGCTCTCCAGCTGTGCTGAAACTACAAATCCCATAAGGCATTGCAAGCCACAGGCATGACTCCCAGACTCAGAAGCATGATGGGATTTGTAGTTTCAGCACAGCTAGATAGGTTGCCTACCCCTGTTCTAGAGAGAAAAGAAGATGGAGATATTATCAGGGAGAGTACTGTGATCTATGTGACCGTAAAAAAATGCATCGGATACTACGCCCGCATCTGATACTACGCCCGCATCTGATACTACGCCCACTTTTGAAGGTCAATTCACCCAAAAATATTTCAGTTATGGGTGAACCCAGGGACATGGAATTTTACATTTTCTTTGTGTTGGGAGGCAAGTCTCACCAAATTCTGCAGCTCTTCTGCGACATAAGTCACTGCACTTTGAATTTTGACAAATGGAAATCAGTAACTGCGCTTTTTAAACAGATGATGCAGCAGATTAAGGGCTGGTGCAGAACTAGGTGATCTGGGATGCGTGTACCGGGAATGTGCGACCGCGTGCTGTTGAACACAAAGATTGCCGCGCAGCCTTGTTGATTTCAATAGGGTTACATCCGCGGGGCAATCACAGAAAAAAGGTAAGTGTATCTTTTTTTGCGAAACACCGTGATCGTGTTAGATTGCACGGGCGGAATCGCGGCAGGAAACCAGCGCACCTGGGTTGCCATTAGAAAATAATGGCACTGCCAGCACAATCGGCAGTGGTCGTGATTCTGTGGCTGCGCAGCCATCCGTGTGGTTTCGTGCACGATTGCCGCGCGGTCACTGATCTCCATAGTGTGAACCTGGCCTCATAAAGTTCTACAATGTTTACATACTTAGAAAATAGAAAGGCTCCGCTTATTGACTGTTCCATAAAGATAAATCCATGTATTGGCTGTGGCTTGTACATGCGACTGCCTTCAGAAGGAGGAGATAAGAAAAGCGGTCACGCTCTTCCAGAGTCACTCTTCCCTTAGAGGAAACCAGAGCAAATTGCCTATAAAAATATACAACACGGAATGTCTACTTCCAAGTGCAGCTATTCAGAAGCATTGGGATCTCTGAAAAAACTGTTTGGATGTGACACAGAAAATATTCCCAACCCATCTCCTATCAAATAAACAACTGAGCAGGAGCCCACCAGGATATCCAATGTTCAGAATCTGTACATAACCCATCAACAGAGAACAAAACAGAACTGGAACTTAACTGTGTTGTAGGATCATTTCACAGTTACTAGGTTTTCATAGTGACGGTACAACATTTTGGTCTACTTTGCTTTCACTAGGGGCTAAAGAAAATAACATTACCTATTACTTTAAGCCAAACCTACCAGAAATGGCAGTCTAAGAATGATTAACCCTTCAAAATCCAGCTGAACTGTGACACCTACCAGAAGCGGCAAATTAGAAACCATCAGAAAAATGGATGGACTTCAACTATTTACAAATACAATTAAAGGAGAACTATGGGTAGAGTGAAATGCACTCATCCCCATAGTTAGAGCTGATGTGCAACACTGCAGCTGTCACATGTCGGCTCTACAGATCGAGAACTGAGCGATCACACACCGCTGATCATTCAGTTCACCCCTCCCCTCTCTGTTCCTACAGAGCTCATTGGAGGACAGACAGGGGAGCGGGCGGGCACCGCCACTTCTGGCTCTAAGGAGGCAGAGCCAGCTGTCAATCACTTAGTGAGGTGGATCCCGACAATATTCTCAGGCTCTTTCCCGGTTGTAGCGCAGCTCTGCGCTGTCAGCATATAGCGAGCATTAGCCTGCTATTTGCTGAGTTTTGGGTCACAGGAGGACATTAGCAATTGTCCTCCTGTGACCCAAAAGAGAACTGACACCAAAAAAGGTTTGGCCATAGTCCTCTTTTAAAACAGAACTTCAGCCACAGAGTTCGGCTTTGACATAAAAGTATCAGTACAGTAACACCACACAGATTTAAAGGAAGTATTTCAAACCAACATCTTCATTCAGGCTTCTTTTTTTTTTAAAGCAACCAAATAATGGATCCAGAAATGTTCCCACTGGTGCAAAGTTTTCTTAAGATCCACACTTTCTGTAATGATAATTTTCTCCTAACCTAGCCAACAGAATTCACAAACCCTGTGTATGCCTTCAAAAGGCGCTTGCCTGGTGGGATCTCGCCTTCTTTTTGTCTCATGTTATCCTTTGACTGACTCAGCGTCTGCAAGATCTAGTCTAGTGGTTTAGAAGTCTGAATGGTGTTTCGGTGTTGAGAGAAACCAGCACCATTTGGGAATACTGACCTATATATACACACACCATAAAAGACTTTAAAGAAACTGAGGGGGGGATTTTAAAATATCTGTAAATAGGGAATACAAAGTCCTTTATGACAGTTCTAATATAGTATGTGACCTCGATAGAGAACTACGGAGATGGCAGCAAAGAAGGCGTAACCTAAAAATTCTTATAGATGTTTATTTCCCCATATGACTGTCATGACGTTGACTAAATATTGGTGTAATGAGCAAAGCAGCTCGACGTCAGAATTTGCCATTATACCCCTTGTATATGTCAACTGGACGTATGGAGATCAAACAAGATGTTGTATGGTAACAGCATACATTGACAACCTTGTCAACTATTCAAAAGTGGTGGCTCTCCAGTTTAATACCGGTCCAATATTATTAGACAATTGATCATGTTTTTCCACAAACCAATGACAATCAAAGATACAGATATTAAAGGACTTGCATCAGTAACTAAAAAGTTACAGGGGTGTGACCAGCCCACCTGAGACCCTGCAGAGCCCACCATAGAGAGTCTGGGCTGTGTGAGATCTCATGTGGGCTCTGCAAGGGGCGCAAGTAGAAATCACAGGGCCCCATACAAAATTTTACTATGGGGCCCTGTGATTTCTAGTTACGCCCCTGCTCTTATGCCAAATAAAACACTTGCATCCAGTGTTATGTGCTGGGCTCTGCCCCTTATTCATGCTGGCACATCACAATGGCAGATGGCAACACTGGCAAATAGAACGCTGGAGGAGAAGGGAGTGGACCTACTTTCATCACCGCTACATTCTTCATTTCTAGGACCAGTTTAGTTTTTGTACTCTATATGGGACTTAAAGTGAACCTATTAAGGCAGAAATACAGGGATTACCACTGATGGGCTGTTTTTGAAGTTCAAGTTCTTTTATCTGTATACTTGTTTCTCAACTTAGTGGCCCAGAATAACCATATGCAAAGCATATCCGAGGCTCGTCAGTGACTTACCAGATGCTAAAGAAAGGTGATGAGCTTGGATTGACAAAAACAGTTAGAAATGGAACTGGCCATCGTGACAGGCTCCTTCTAAGGTGCATGCACATCTAATATTCTATGAGGCTGAGCTTCAAGAGCAATAAATCCTTTAATAAATCTACGCGTCTCTCATTTAACTAATGCAATGACTACCGATGGCCTATTTTTAAAGGCCATCCTTACAACACGGTCAATATCCAAAAGACATAGTAGGAATGCTACATTTCTATGTTCTCAGATGTGTAAAATTGAGTTTTGCTTATACTTGATGGACATGTGTCTTTTTTTAACCGGACTTACAATATAAACAAAAGCAGTAACACTCAAGGTCTAAGCCTAGGGTGACAATTAAAACATACACATATAGTTCATTATATTAGACTGTCATCACTGGGTCTGTAAAGTTCTCAGTGCACAGTAGTGCTGGCCAGTAAAAGGGACAGGCATGGTCTCTTACTTGCCTATCCCTCTGAGAGCCCATTCGCACCAGGGCGTTTGCGGATCAGTGCGGTTACCGCGCTGATTTCAAAAGGGAGGTTTTCGGGAGTTTTTAATTATGTTTCAGCGCTGAAACGCAATTAAAAACGCGCTAATCAGCATGGTTCCATTGAAAGCTGTATGGAAACCACACTGATCAGTGCGGCAAAAATAGTGCAGGGAGCAGTTCGGGCAGTTCAGACCGCGTGGTTGCATGAACTGTCCCCATAGCAGTGTATGGGATCATTCATGTCGGCGGATCTGCGCGGCCGAACCCCCCCGGTGTTAACTTGTCCTTGTTAGCACATGATCACTGAAGCACAATTGATTGGTTTCTTGTGCTTCATCACCACCTCCCAGTCTGAGCCTTGCTGTACAGGGACTACGAGAGGCTGGTACCAGGTCAAACGTAGGTATTAGTCTGTAGCTCAGCTTAAAGGCCATGTTTACTTTTTGAACCATGTTTGATTTCAAACCCATAGTCAGGATGTATCATGAACCAGGGTCACTATGCCTTTAAAGCTTCCTTTGGTGTATTAAAGCAACCTAACACATGACATGATTGTTACCCAACATAGCCAATTACTGTTCCATTAGGGAAATGATCATATGGGCATTTTGTGACCTCTACAGACACCCTCTAGTCAACTGATTAAACTGATCATCCAGAATAGATTTTCTCCACTGATTGCAACTGTCCATCTGAGATAAGGTCAACACCATGGATGCCTGCTCAGCAAATCAAACATTCATGCTCAACCATGCTCATAGCCACGATGGTCAGATCTCTTAAATACCACCTCATATCTATGGCCAGCCACGATGCTTTTAGCTGGTAGTTGGAGGGGGTAGAAACTGGTACAGGCTCCTGTAACCAACAGACAATATGGCAGATTTCATTTTTGTCTTCCAAATTGCATCACACAAATATAAGGAGAAAATCCAACGGAAAGAGTTTCCTTTGTGCGTATCCCTGGCGTGTGCTGCCAGACGGCATTCTAGAAGCTGGCGCGGCACTCTTCTCCTGTATATACGGTAGCTCTGCAGTTTGCTGCCGCCCACGTACCTTCATCATTAGCAGACAGTTTGCCATGGAGTACATCACCCGGCCCAGACGTGACCTCCACAGCTGAACAGAGGCTGCAAAATAAGATCAGCGTGTGAATGTGCACAAATAAATTAGAGGTTCTTTCTAGCCATCAATCACTGGTCCTATGAATTCTGATTTAAAAGATCCCCCTTGTTAACGCTGCTGGGTTTCAGGCTAGAGTTTTTAATACTCTCTAGGCTGCAAGTCAAGACAAAAAGAAAAAAAAAAAAAAGGTTATTTTTATTTTTTTCTGTTCACTGAGGGACGAGCTTGCCTAGTTCACGGATTAGAAGTCTACATAAATGATGCAGCCATGCAGAAGAGCCAGCAACCTTTCCAGTTTCCTAGCAGACATGCTAATTACAATGACAAAAATTCAGTGTCATAAAACCATTAGCATGCACATAGGATGCGTGCACCGGATGATATTAGAGGCTCATCATTATTGCAGGAGCAGAAAAAAAAACAGGATGTGCCGGTGGTATTTGTGAATGATTGTAATGCCAATGCAGACAGAGATGGGGGCGTCTGAGCCATATAGTTGTCAGCTTTTGGCAGCGTGAAGCCCAGGAGAAAGCGCTGAGCTCAACTACATCCCCTTATTGTTCTGTAGCTGGCAGCCTACATAGAGCTAAGCATCTGCCAATGTTACGAGATCAAAGAGGCTCACTAATCTTCTCAGGGCTGAGGGGACCAGCAGTGAACTGGTGCATAAGATTACAGAGCATCATGCAGCCCATCGATCTGCGCACACATTCCCTGTGCTCTGCCGGGTCCCTCACTTAGACTGCAAGCTCCTAGAACTAGAATTATTTTCAATATTTGTATAGTTGCAAGCAATACTAATTGATTTTTTTCTTAGGTTTTATTACCATCATGACTAGCAAATGCCATGCTCTTAGTTTATGATACAGTACATCTATTTGTCTTTTTCTGCAGATTTCCTTTGAAGGCAGAAACGGTCACATAGTAGGGATTCTGGTGCAGAAATGCCTGCAACACAGGACTTCAAGACACCGGTACTGACATTCTTGTTCCCTGCTGAATGAAATTATATATATATATACATATACATACACACACACACACATACTATATAATATATATCCGTGCCATGTCAACAATACTCACTAAAGCCTCCTTTGAATTTATGCATTTAAAGGAAACATGGTTTTGAGAGAAATATGGAGGTGGGCACTGCACTCTCCTTTTGAGAATGCCGGTTGCCGGCTGTCTTGCCATTTCATTGGCTTTAGTACCTTGGAACAAATAAGCAAATCAGGTGTTCAGAGTCTGTTCCAACTGCACCACTCACTGTATTGCTAGTCCAAGGTTAGATTCAGAAAACGCCAACCACCACCATGAAAATAGCACTTTCAGAAAGAAGTCTGCAATGACAACCTACACATGATGGTTTAAAGAGACACTGTCAGCTTTGGGCAAATAGACAGCTTTTTTTCAGCTTTGGGCAAATAGACAGCTTTTTTCAGCTTTGGGCAAATAGACAGCTTTTTTCAGCTTTGGGCAAATAGACAGCTTTTTTTTGCGTAAAAGTGCATACCTCCGACAC